GCTCACATTAGCTTTGCTAGTTTTTACCATTTTTTATTTACTATGCTTATTGCTTTTTGGAGACCACTCTTTCGATCACGGTCGTATGAATTTCGTACCCATAGTTGTTTTAAGTGGTCCGGGTTTTTCTTATCAAAAATTTTTGCAACACGGTCTTGTTCGTTCATTAGGAATGCCTGTAGAGAGCCTGGCAATCAACTTGTCGAGAGTTTTGGTTCGCAGTCATCATATGGATTAACGGGGTTTGTAACGCTCTTATAATTTATATCATCTGTTTTATAAGACCAGCATTCAATTCAACGAAATAGATGCAGTTGTTTGGGGATTACTGCAGATATCGAAAAAAGCATACGCGCCTGTCAGTTTTGGCGCATGGTTGTCTTTTTTGCCATGCATGAAAACCTTGACAATCTAATTGACGCAACCTTGTGCGGTTCCTGTCTAAACTGCCACCTGTTCATGGTTTTCACCACGAACAGCTACCCTACCTTCTGCGGCGGGGTAGGCAAATAGTGAACAGAAGAGGAGCACTGACGAAGATGTTGCGAAAGTGAAAGAAAACAATACGGCAGACAAAAAATGTTTAGGTGTAAACATCGAAGAAAAAATGAAGACTGTGCGTGAAGGTTGGGCGTAATGACTGTAATCCGTTAATAGGCATAGATTTTCTCCTTCCTTTTTTGCCGGAACAAGTTTTCGTTTGCGTGAGCACTGTCGCTCCTTTACCCACCGCAGCTGCTGCCTTCCTTGTATGGGAATAACGCATTCTCCAAAAGTAGCGAAACTTGCTGAAATTTAATCATCGCTATGAACCTGTCTCCTGTTCCAACACCTTTGCCACGCAGAAAAAATGCTCATTTGTTTCAGCGCAGTTATTCAGCTCCTATAAAAGTAGGTATTTAAAATCATATGGTAGATTTTTTCAATCTGTTTACGGTTACTGTCAAATTCTTCTGCATTTTGGTAGGTGTGAGGTTGAGGATAAGTATCAGGGATTTTTATAAATTTGAAAGACTGCCAAAACATACGGTTTTCAGCCATCTGCACCGCAATGCATTGGTCTACCGATGCAACCAGCAGTGTTGGATTCATCCTGTGCAATCGTTCGCAATCCTTCGACTTTGTCAAATAGGCCACATTCTACGACTATGCTTAGCGGGTAAGCTTTTTGCATTTTTTTGAAGGTTTTCAATTTCGTTCTATGCGAATTTGTTTAGTCGGCGCGCGGCTCACAGCGTTTCGTCACGTTCTGACCAAATGGCGCATTCTGCCATAGAATGCGCACCAGCATCAACAACCTCCTCGCATTCTTATGTTGTCGAGGAGCCCAGACCATCTAGAGAGTCGATTTTGGAGAAATTGATCAGATTCTTCCGGAGCAGGCCTAGCATAGATGCGCTGAAGGAGAAGGGAATTTACAAACGTAAGGAATTTTTTTTGTGGATTGGGTTAGAGTTTTGAAGCAAAATTGCTGGTTTCAGATGAGCCAGTTTTTGGCAGCACATTGTCAGCTATTTGCCAAATAGAGAACAGTCTTGTGCCGAAATTCATTAGGACAGTGACGGAGCTGATTGAAAGCAGAGGACTGGAGATTGATGGATTGTATCGGTGAGCTTTTTGCATTTTTGTATCTGACTTTTCTTGCCTGTGCGCTTTATTTTGATGGTTATCATCTCTCAATTTCTTTCTCAGTTTTATATGCTTAAAGGCAGTGTCCCCCCAAAAGA